ATTCCCAAGAGTAGAAGTTAATATAGCCAAACAATCAAAGTTTTAAATTTTGACATTTTTTAAAAAATATTTTTTGCCCATTCATTATTATACCATCTGCGAGGGCGGATTCGTACCTATAATAGTTTTATTCATACTACTGAAAAAAATCAGATTCACCTTCATCTTTGCCCGCAGTATTATATATTTTCTTTCAAAGTCTTTAAACCATTGGTTTTAAAATTGAAAGTACTTCAAAAGCAAGAGGGATCGCTATAGTGGATGCCATCGACTACCAGATACCCGTGGTACAATCTTATGAATGGCACGAACCGAACAATTATTGGCATGTAGTTGATAATGAAAACAAAATCTCATTTGAATCTTTCAAAAATATTCAAATCATGGGCGATCATGGGCGTTAGTGACACCTTGATGAAACAAACTTGCGCTGCATGATAAGCTGAAGAAGAAGAAAAACAGTTTAAGTACCAAGTTTCTAGCTTTTATAGTTTCTGGGATCTCAGCTTTCATACGTACGGACAGACAGACGGAAATACAAACAGTCGGAGAGACGGACATGGCTCGACTAGTGATGCTGATAAAAAATACATATACTTATAAGGACGAAAACACTTCCGCCTACCTGTTACATACTTTCTAAAGAATCTAGTTTACCTTTTTAATCTATGGGTAACGGGTATAGTAAAAAAGTTGCAAACCATCGAATAAATTTAAGTTCGGATGATCCTGAATGGAGTTAGCTGTTCGCCAAAAGCTATGTTTACTTCGAAAAAACTGAAAAGATTCCTATTCTATTTTTTTAAATACTTGAAATGTTTTTCAATAAAAACAAGGATGACTATCAGATACCCTTTACCCGTTAAAGGGACCAAAGGGAAATGGATATATGCAAGCAGCAAAGCGAGATTGAAATGCGCCACCTAGCCGCGATCTGAATAAATGGTTATGTTTGCGGTAGACAGATTTAAGCGTTAAGGGCGTTAGATTGGGCGTGACAAACTTATTTTTGGGTCAATCGATAGGTATTCCTGATACCTATCAGTTATCATTTCTTTCTAGCTTGAAAAATGTGGGCGCCTCAAGCTTGGTCGGCTTGTGGGCGAGGCATATTCGCGTAACAAACTTGCGCTGCGCACAAGGCTAAGGAATCTAAATCTGAAATGCCAATCCCAAAATTAAGTATGCGTAGTTAGACATCGGAAATTTAACCAACACAATTCTTATACCCGTTACTCGTAGAGTAAAAGGGTATACTAGATTCGTCAAAAAGTATGTAACAGGCAGAAGGAAGCGTTTCCGATCCCATAAAGTATATATATTCTTGATCAGGATCACTAGCCGAGTCGATCTAGCCATGTCCGTCTGTCCGTCTGTCCGGATGAACGCTGAGATCTCGGAAACTATTAACGCCCACAATCCGCCCAAAACGGTGGCTCCTACAGTTTTTATGCTAGAATAAAAATTTTAACTGAAATGTATGTAACCACCCAAACCTGTGACGCCCACAATTTTCATGCTAGATAAATAAATAATAACAGTTATGGGGTCGGAAACGCTTCCTTCTGCCTGTTACATACTTTCCGACGAATCTAGTATACCCTTTTACTCTACGAGTAACGGGTATAAAAAGAAATGAAGTTACAATAACTTCGGCAAGCCGAAGTTTGTATACCCTTGCACTTATAATTAATAAATTTAACAAGGGAGAACGCTATAGTCGAGTACCTCGACTATCAGATACCCGTTACTCAGCTAAATGGAGATATGCAAGCAGCAAAGCGAGATTAAAATGCGCCACCTACCGGCGGTATACAGATTTAAGCGTTATGGGCGTTAGAGTGGGCGTGGCAAATTTTTTTTTTGGATCAATCGATAGGTATTGACGAGACCAATACATTTCAGTTAAAATTTTTTATCTAGCATGAAAATTGTGGGCGTCACAGGGTTTTGCGGTTTGTGGGCGTTAAAGTGGGCGTGGCAAACTTTTTTTTGGGTCAATCGATAGGTATTGATGAGAGCATTACATTTCAGTTAAAATTTTCTATCTAGCATCAAAACTGTAGGAGCCACAGTTTTGGGCGGTTTGTGGGCGTTAGAGTGGGCGTGGCAGTCTACTGAAACAAACTTGCGCTGCGTAGGAAGCTCAGGAATTTGCACGCCAAATCTCAATAGCCTAGCTCCCATAGTTTCCGAGATCTCAGCGTTCATCCGGACAGACGGACAGACGGACATGGCTAGATCGACTCGGCTAGTGATCCTGATCAAGAATATATATACTTTATGGGGTCGGAAACGCTTCCTTCTGCCTGTTACATACTTTCCGACGAATCTAGTATACCCTTTTACTCTACGAGTAACGGGTATAAAAATACAAAAAATGATATTCCCAATAGTATAAGATAATGTGTCAAAAAACACCGAAGCTATAATATGTTTCATGTTATTTTCCCACCAATAGCTATATGATATAGTCGTCCGATTTTGATAAAATTAAATTCGAAATTCAGAACTAATTAAAAATGTTTTTTCCAAGCGTGGGAGTTTAGATGTTAAAAAACACCAAAGAAAAAATTTGTTTAAATTTTTTTTCCGATTATTCCTATGGGAGCTATAAGATGTAGTTGTCCGATCCGGCTGGTTCCGACTTATATACTACCTGCAAAAGAAAGAAGACTTTTGGGAAAGTTTTCGCCCGATAGCTTTAAAACTGAGAGACTAGTTTGCGTAGAAGCGGACGAACAGACGGAAATGGCTAGATCGACTCGTCTAGTGATGTTGATTAAGAATATATATACTTTATGGGGTCGGAAACGTCTGCTTCACTGCGTTGCAAGTTTCTGACTGAAATCCTAATACCGTCTGCAAGGGTATAAAAATAAATATAAAACAACAAGCTAAAGGGACCAAAGGGACATAAAGATATGCAAGCAGCAAAGCGAAATTGTAATGCGCCATCTACCAGCTATCTTAATATATGGTTATGTGGGCGGCAGACAGACTTAAACGTTATGGGCGTTAGAGTGGGCGTGGCGAACTTTTTTGGGTCAAGCGATAGGTATTGACGAGACTTATACATTACAGTAAAGATTTTTTTCCAGCATGAAAACTGTAGACACCTTAATTTTGGACGCGTTTGAGAGGGCGTGGTACCTTGCTGAAACAAACTTGCGCTGCGCAAGAAGCTCAGGAACCTACATAAAAATCTCAACTTTCTAGCTTTCGTAGTTTTCGAGATCTCAACGTTCATCCGGACGGACAGACAGACGGACAGACGGACATGGCTAGATCGACTTGGCTAGTGGTCCTGATGAAGAATATACATAATTTATGGGGTCGGAAACGCTTCCTTCTACCAGTTACATATTCTCCGACGAATATTATACCCTTTTACTCTACGAGTAACATGTATAAGAAATTTGCACATATTTTTTAAACCATGGCACTTAGACAATTCATGTTAGAAAGGCGTATAAAGTATTTCGAAGTACCTGTCTAACGACATATAGCACAAGCATGTAGCTTTAGAAATTCACAATACGAAGTTTAGCTATTTTTAGCCGTTTTTTTTCGCAAAAATAAATAGTTTTTCCAAAAGTTGCGAAGTTCGCTAAAATTTGGTTTGCGTATAACTTTTTAACAGTCATTGGATAATAACAACTGACGCGTATTTTAAGTGGGAATACAACTAGACTTATGAATTTGTGTATTTTTCTCCCAACGGCCCCTTTTAGTTTTTGCAATACCTTTCGATTGATGTATCACTCGTACAAATCGGACGATCACAGTAGATTTTCATTTCTTTGTGTATGTATATATAGAATTCGCCTTCGCACACCCTCCTGCGCTTCGTCACTACGTGGACTGCCGTCAACAGTGATAGTCGCCTTCGCACACTCTCCTGTTGCGCGTTTGTGACTACGTGGACTACCATCCGCAGTGTTATGTTTTTCTCATTTGGTTCAACCTTTTTCATACTAATACAATAATCAAATATGATTTGCCCATACTTGACTGGAAAGTATACGTATTTAATTTTAGTTACACTTTTTTTCTGGGTTTAACTAGGTAAGGAAAGTAAACAAAGTGTGCATACTTATATTTTATATCCGTAAATTTTTAAATGGTAAAGGCGGAAATTTTGTTTGACCTATTATTTGCAGAAAGAAGATAACGTTATCTTAAAAGGAATTTATTTTGACACACCCCAAAACGCGAATAAAATGCTTTTTGAAGTATTTTACATCAGAACATTAATTACGACGTCAATTCGCGGATATAATATCTACAAATTTGTGACAAGTAACCACTTATCATCTTCCTGATTTCGGAACACATTGCCAAAAAACTTTAAATAAAACGTTGTTTTGAATTATTCATCTGCAATATTGAATAGTTAGAGAGGCTCTATTCCTTGCCCAAAAAGGCCAATGATTTCTACAAAGGTGGAGGTTTAAATAAGTTGAGGAAAACAGATATGCTGTTGGCATAGGCCGCAAATTTACTTTGGTTACACAGCTTGCTTGGCAGTTGTGTGTGCACTTCGTTGTGTCAAAGCGACTGTCATGTATCGGAAAAATGGGTCGTGGTTCGGGGGAATGTGTTCAAAGTGGAACTAAATTTTGTCGGCCTATTTGACAGGTAAATTTATTAATAATCATATGTTGGGCTGGCCTTAAATGTTGGGTGCCCAAACAGGTATTTTATGTAAGACCATCGAAATTTGTGTGATAATTCGAGTTTTAAGCAGGTTTTTGAAGCAGGATTTTCGCTCTTATGTTACTAAAAAATTTAATTAAGATTGCCGCGCTGGCATCGATATCACCTCATCCACTGATTGGGTAATTCAATTGCGCACAACGTCGCGTTCCAGTCTCCCAAGAGCAAATTGGCGTTATGAATGCCTAATGGCGAAAACTCTTGCTCGCCAGCTGATATGTGCTTCTAAAACCCTCCGCTTATAACAACTTTTCATTTTTTTTTAATAAGCTCAGACTTACTTGATTTGCAGTGCCCGTTCTTTGCTGTATAACTGGTTGTGGCTGGATTTGCTTTGGATCAGGCAGCTCTCGCACTGGCCAACTTCGCTGTTAAAATAACACTGAGGCTACTTCAAAAGCAGCGCGCACTAAATGTGGCTCTTTTATAGGCCGAGGCCTCTTGCCGCTGCTCCACTGGCACCGCTGATAGCCCGAACCGCAACGATCGTTAATGTCAAAGAGTCTGGCCAACTCCCCGTCAGCACGCACACCTTCCAGAGAGCGTGCAAAGTCGTTTACCACCTCTTAATGCAATCTCAACGCTGTTGCTCTTAGGGAGTAAGCTGCACTCTTAAAAATAAAACTGAACTATATTTAAAGTGGTCAAAAGTTAACAGTAACCCTCTGTTGAAAAAATCTATGCACACTTTCGCCCACCTCAGAAATAAACAAAAAAGAATGCTACGATCGATTTCCTCGAATATCAGATGTTCGTTACTTTGTTGTGTCCAATTTCAAAATAATTCCAGGACATTTCTGTTTTATCGACATATTTAAAAGACGTGCAGTGGCTCCATTAACCAAAAAATGTGCAAGAAATCAAGTTTTGATGTGGGCCTGGACAATTGTGGAGCCACGATTCGACAGGAAACTTATACATGATTTCAAATATCTACGTAACCCTTAAAAATATCAGACTTTTAAGATCTAATTAAGGGACTCATTTTTTGCTTTTAACACGCAATTTTAAGCTAATTTAAACAACTTGCAGGAAATATTTTTATTTTAATATGTTTTGTTTCAACTGATTGGTGTGTTTATTTAGTATAAGTTACATACAACAAAATTAAACATTGCAATCTGTTCCTGTAGGTAAATCACAATTTAAAAATCTTATTTTTCCATTTGTTAACTTTGATGGGAAATAAAAAAACTGTTTTAAAAGTAAAGTGCCTTTGCCTTTGGAAAACTGTTTGAAAAATTTAAGAGAGTTGGGATTAGATATACTAAGGGTTTCAGCGCCGAGTAAGTTTAATTCGATGAGGCTCGCCAACTCTAACGATTATAAACGTCAATAGCTTTAAAATCAATCTGGTGCCTACATTTTTAAAGATTTTGTAATAGTATACACCGGTTGTTTTCCCATCTATCCATTCAATTAGCCTTATAAGCAATGATTAAGGAGAGTTGAATCTTAGCATCATGATTTTACTAGTTCTTATGGAGCCCAGTGCCACGCTCACTATTAAGGGGTTAAATACACTTGTAACCGCAAATTTGATTTAAAATTTTCTTATACACATACCTATGGGACTGTTAGAATCGAAGAGTTAGCTTTGTATAGCTCGCTACAGAAGCAGTGAATTGAAACTTTCAACGAGATTATCTCGGCACAATGTTTTCCCGAAAACGGTTTGGGATGGACACGACTTCGGGAAAACTATTCGTTTTTCGCTACTAATCAAAAAAACTAGATTTGTCGGAAAGTATGTAACAGCGCAGCGCAAGTTATTTCGTCAGTGTGCCACGCCCACAAACCGCCCAAAACTGTGGCTCCTACAGTTTTAATGCTAAAATAAAAGTGATAATGATAACTGAAATGCATTGTTTTTATCAATACCTATTAATTTACCTATAAAAAGGTTTTCCACGCCCACTCTCGGAAACTATCAAAGATAGAGAATTGTGATTTCAAATTTAGCGCAAATTTGTACGCAGCGCACGTTTTTTACGCGAATATGCCACGCCCACCCTAACGCCCATCAGCCGCCTAAAACTGTGGCGTCCACAATTTTCATGTAAGAAAGAAAATTTTTACCAGAAATGTGTTAGCCTCGCCAATACCTATCCATTGACCCAAAAAAAGAGACCCACTTACCCATCACGGTAAAATCTGTGTGCCGCCCACATAACCATATATTGGTGGGTATGTGCCGCATTTAATCTCGCTTTGCTGCTGTTATATCTCTATTTCCGTTTTGTCCCTTTTGCTGAGTAACGGATATTTGATAGTCAAGGCACTCGACTATAGCGTTTTTCCTTGTTTTTCACTAAAAGAAGAAGCAATCCTATTCAATTTATAAGTAACTAGCAAGATCGCCCGCAACTTCAAGATTGAAAATGTCTCGAATAGATCGGCTATATCCTATACCTGGTATTGGGAGTATCTATGCTACTTAAATTAAACTTAAGTCATTCCTCATTTTCACACCACCATAGAGATATGAAGCGTTTTTAACTCGTTACTCGTAGAGTAAAAGGGTATACTAGATTCATCGGAAAGTATGTAACAGGTAGAAGGAAACGTTTCCGACCCCATAAAGTATAGATATTCTTGATCAGGATCACTAGTCGAGTCGATCTAGCCATGTTCGTCTGTCTGTCCGTCCGGATAAACGCTGAGATCTCGGAAACTATAAGAGCTAGGCTTTGGCATGCAGATTCCTGAGCTTCTTACAATCAAGTTTGTTTCAGCAGGGTGCCACGCCCCCTCTAACGCCCACAAACCGCCAAAAACTATGGCTCCTACAGATTTAATGCTAGAATAAAAATTAAACTTTAAATTTATCGATTGCCACGCCTACTTTAACGCCCAGAAACCGCCCACAAATCGTAAAAAATGATAACGGATATCTCGGAAACTATCGAAGATAGAGAATTGGAAGTTCAGATTTAGATTCCGTAGCCTTGTACGCAGCGCAAGTTTGTTTCGCGAATATGCCACGCACACTCTAACGCCCACAAACCGCCCAAATCTGTGGCGCCCACAATTTTTATGCTAGATCAAAAATATTGACTGTAAGATATTAGTCTCGTCAATACATATCTATTGACCAATAAAAGTTTGCCACGCAAACTCTAACACCCGTAACGCTTTAATCTGTGTGTCGCCCACATAACCATATATTTTAGTTTGATATGACTCTTTGGACACCAATCTTTCCATGCCAAATGCAATAATTTTTTTGAGATGTTTTAAAGCTTTTCTTCATGATATATAATGATATAGTTTATTGACAATTTATGTAATGTTACATTTTTTTATTTTATGCTAGATTTGTTTTTTTACTGACATTCAGCATGTTATTATTCCCTGAAAATTCGTCGATTTCAACTTTTTTGAACGTCTCACACCGCGTTTTGGACCGCTTGGTTTAGTATTACTTCATGTTGGGTAATCACCACCATTAGCAGTATAACTGGCACCATGAAAACTATATATGTACTTCAACAAGATCCGTACTATTTAACATTACCTTCAACTAATCGAATCAAATCTTATTTCCGCCGTCAGCTTAACATGCATATATACACACATTCTTGATCAGCATCACTAGACGAGTCGATCGAGCCATGTCCGTCTGTCTGTATCAGTTTTAAAGCTATCGGGCTGAAACTTTTCCAACTTTTCCTTTTGCAGGTAGTATATAAGTCGGAACCAGCCGGATCGGACAACTACATCTTATAGCTCCCATAGGGATAATCGGAAAACAAAAATTAAAAATAATTATTTCTTTTATGTTTTTTAACATATAAACTCTTACGTTTGGAAATAACATTTTTTAATTAGTTCTGAATTTTGAATTTAATTTTATTAAATCGGGCGATTAATCATATAGCTGCCATAGGAACGATCGGAAAATTGGTGGGAAAATAATACGAAACAAATAATAGCTTCGGTGTTTTTTGACATATTATCTATTATACTATTAGGAATATCATTTTTTTGTATTTTTCAGAATTTAGAATTAAATTTAAAAATTATAGCTGCAAGGGTATACAAACATCGGCTTGCCGAAGTTAACTTCCTTTCTTGTTTTCAGTATTCTTGTAGTCCTTACATTTTTACTTAGATGTAGGAGAGATGTATTTGTTTAAACAGTTATGTGTTTTTTTTTAATCATAGGAGTGCAATTTTAATTTGAGAGCACCAAAATTAGTTTGTAATTTAAAATTAGTTTTTGCTTTTGAAGGAAATGTGTTATGTCTGTTAAAGAATTGAAAATGAAATGGACCTGACACAAATCCTCAGCGGACATGGATGCTTCCGTAGTTACCTGCAGAAGTACGGGCACATCTCGGAAAACTGTTCAGAGTGCGGCAGTGGCATCATCGAGGATGCTCAGCATGTCCTCTTCGACTTCCACCGTTTTCAGCACGAGCGCCAAGCGCTGCAATTAGTCACGGGAGTCAGCGTTGAAGTCCATACATTGCCAATGTCATTGTCAGAGGCCAAAAATCAAAATTAAATTTACACAGCTTGTCTCTAAAATGTCCAATCTTCCAATTTGCAAACCGGTTTTCGCTGGAAACCCAACGGTACATTCTATAAATAGAATCAAAAGCATGAACACGTGTTCATTTCAACAGCGCATCTGAGCTTTGTTGAAATATTTCAAAGCAAAAGCGCACTTCAAATCGGACTGGTAACTGTTCAAGTTGATAAATTTATATTATTCAAAATGGATTTTGAAGCTCAAGGTATTTATTTTACTTTATGAAATTAATTTATACTAACTTGATATGAAATTAATAAACTCTAACTTGATATGTGAAACCTCTTTGTTTGTACCTGTTTTGTGTGTCTCAAATTTGTTTACCTAAAGTTTTAGTTGTGATCCCACACTATTCCAAACAAGGATTTTTTTTTTATATTTTTCAGAGTTTTAAGATTTTAAAATCGTTAAAGTTAGGTGCGGAATGTAGCGAATGTAGTTGTAATCGTTAATATGCTAACACGACTTCTTATTTTTTCAAGGTCAAATTTTGCCAGCGCGCTGCAGCAGAGCCTTTGTGTCGTCTTTTGAGTCTCTGTTTTTGTTGTGTCTTTGTGTTCGTCTTTTGTGATTGTTTACAGCTTCTATTTGTCAGTTTTTTTTTTTTACTTAAGATTATTCTAATTATTTTTCCGTTTTTCTTTTATAATTTTTGTTTACAAAATAAATTTGGACAAATTTAATGAATATGCCATCGATACTGCTAAGGAATTGATAAAAGAGTATCCATGGTACTGTTTGACAGCTACAGTCCATAAGGTGTTAGTTCATGGATCTTCTGTAATTGAGCATGCACTCATGTCAATCGGAGAGCTTTCGGAAGGAGCTGCCGAGTCTAATAGTAAGGAATTAAAAAAATGTAGATTAT